CGCCTGGAGGCCCATGGGAAGGCAAAGCCCCAGATCATTCTTTACCCTGAGGCAGGGCACTATATTGAGCCCCCTTACTTCCCTTTGTGCAGGGCTGGCTTGCACCTCTTGGTTGGGGCTAACATCTTGTTTGGAGGAGAAGCCAAGGCTCATGCAGTGGCCCAAGTGGATGCGTGGAAGCAACTCCAGACTTTCTTCCACAAACACTTGGGCAAGTAGAGTTAAGGGGATTCTCCAGAAAAAGTAGCTCATTCTTTCTTGGTTTGACTGTAATACTCAACAATTTGTAAGAACTTCAGTTTAGATTAGCTCATCCTTATGTATTAGAGGAATATTCTTTTTTGCAAAAATAAAAAAGTTACTATTTACAATACTTTATAAAATAATTTTCATTAATAACATGGAAGCTGTAAGAATGAGTACTTTTTGAAAATAAAACTTAGAAATGTAACTGATACAGTGTATCTTTTAATTCCTGTGCTATTGTCACTACAAATACCCTTCCACAAATACCCTGTGTGGTGATTTTGCTCTGTTCCTCTTCAGATAGTTTGTGTAACAACCATGAATGTATAAATGAAAGTCTCATTCCATGAATGTCATTTGAGGAAGAACATTGGTTTTTACAAAACAAGAAAATATTGGAAGAAAGAGCACCTTTACCTGAAACAAGCCCTATGGCACTGTAGGATGTAGGACCGACTTGCAGTTTAGTCTCGAAAGTAAATAAGCACCTGAGGAAGAAATCAAGGCTTCCCCATCACTTTTGTTTGTTTGTTTGTTTTTGGGTCCAGTTGTGGGCCTGAACTCTGGGTCTGGGCACTGTCCCTCAGCTCTTCAGCTCAAGGCTAGCGCTGTACCACTTGAGCCACAGCGCCACTTCCAGCTTTTTGTTTTTTTGCTTATGTGGTGCTGAGGAATCGAACCCAGGGCCTTAAGCATGCAAGGCAAGAGCTCTACCACTGAGCCACCTTCCCAGCCCTTCCCCATCACTTTTGCTGTGCCTAGCTTTAATCCCCCAACCTATCTGTGGGTAAGTAAATGAATACATGTACAAGCAGAGACCTTCACAACATCTTATAGCCAGAAT